TATTTGAACAGTGATAAGAGAAACCCTTCCTAGAAACAGACTTCCAAGAATAGGGAGCAAAAGGGAAAATTCCCATCACACACCCAAATTGAGAAGGGGGGAAAAAAAGCTTTCTCCCAGTTTGGCATCGTTATGACAATCTTGTGTTGCAAATTAAAAAAAAAAAAGAAAAAATGCAACCTTCCTTAGGCTGCACTTGAATTTCTGCCTGAAACACGCCAACTGGCCAACTGAAGGGGAAAAAAAATAGGTGCACATTTTAATATTCACTACAGCGAAGTGAGTATTGGGGTTCTGTGTATGAATCATTGCAGGGGAGCGCCCACCTTTGCCGCAGGACTGCTTGCTGAGGACTAATTGGAACTGCTCTGCTCTGAATAACCTACATTCATTAATCACCCCTTGCTTGACTCTGGCCTCAATCCTGCTCCCATTGAACTCGAAGGTACAATCCCTGGGGATTTCAAAGGAGAGCAGGATCCTACTGTTCTCCCACAGGTACCTCTCTGGCTAAAGCAGGGGGAGTGCTGCCCGAGCAAGGCAATCGTGTGTCAAAAGGTGTGCATGGTCTTAATCTCCCCATCACTAACAACATCCTATTTTTCCCAGAGTCCTGTAGTGCTTTCCCATTTATTAACTACATTACAAAGAACTTTCATGTGACCGGTGCTGGGAGATACGTGCACAGAGAGCAGCCCTTTGCTGGCTGGGGATGGTGTGCAACTGTGGTGCAGCTCCTCTTCCCTCCCCAGCCCACCTTGCCCTTAAGAATTTTTTATTTCCTCTCCTAAAATGAAACACAAACCTCTGCCCACCCTCTGGGTTTCTGCTGAGCAGAGTCCGAGAGTATAGTTTTGTTTTTGCTGCAGCATTTTCCCTGCCCGAGAAATGTCATCCTGGACTGCATCCTAAAAGAAAGAGGGTAGAAGGGAGGGAAATATCCCAGTCACACCAGTGTATATTTATTTCTTGAACAATTTCTCACTAGGCACTGTGGTGAGAAATGCCTGTTTGCAAACAGAGCGGGGACAGCTTCTATTTATTAGAAAGCCTTCTTCACCCTTTTAAAACAAAAATGCCAGTGCTGAATCAAAATGTCACTTGAAAACCCCCCTCCCGAAACATGGCAGCAAATTTTCAGTTTAAAAAATGAACTTTCCCAGCTCTTTTTTTCCTTTCCCTTCCGAAAGCTTTTGTGCAGCTGTTTCCTCCCCCTCCCTCTGCGTAGTGTGTAGGAAGTTCTTGATCTAGAATCATTCATAATTTTAATACCAATTTCTATTTGACATAATATACTAATATCAGATAGAGAGTGTAGCTGCTTCCTGGATTTAGGGAGGAAATGATGCATATATCAGAATTATCTGCTCAGATGCCAGAACTACATTGGTGTCATTTCAGCATGTGCTGCATTGAAAGGAAATCCTCTATATTTATTACTCCGATCATCAGAGGAGCTAAATGGACCCACTGTTTCTGACACCTGTTCAGATGGCTGAATTTAAAATTTCACGCAGGAAAAAAAAGTAATCCTACATACTCCAATGTTAAGAATTAAGATATTTTAATAAACTTGTTTCCCTCCCTCTTTCCGAATCGCTGTGTTGTGAGCGGCTGCCATGACGCTTGGCCATTCCAGGGGTAGCCATGGAGAGTGGGATAGATTTTGTTTGCTCAGCTCAGACAAAAACCAATCCTGCTTATATGCACACACACATACACACTGACTGTAACCAAATGCTTCAAAGATCTGTTTTAAGTGCAGGTCTCAGTGTGAATAACACGATGTAGCACACCCCAGAATGTGGCAGAGGTGAGCGGCTGTTGAGAGAATTTGTCTTTTTGGGAGGGAGCTGAGCACTCAACCACTTCATAATTTTAAGGCTCCTCTAATGAATTTTTTCAGGCACAGCAGGTACAAATCAATAGATTAAAATAGTGTACAGTCTGCCGCATCTAATTCTTGACTGCCTGAAATTGCGGGGGAGGACCGAGAATAACATTTGTCACTCTGAGGGCTGAGTGCATTCAGATTTGTGAGCTCTAAGCCAACACAATGCAAAAATAGTCCAGGATGTGAATTAACTTTTCAAGTGAAAAGCAAAAGGCCAGGGATCTGCGAGGCTGTAGCTGGCAGACAGGCAGCTCCATCCCCAGCTATCTACCACCGTTATCAGGTCGACCCGGCACAGTGTGGCAACGTGTAAGTACCCTCAATGCCCACTGCCTGTATTTCAGTGCTCTCTGAAATGATAATTTTCTTTCACTATTGCTGTACCCAGTTTTTTCCCCCCGAAGTCTGGCTTTTAAACCTGTGCCACTTCGATGACAGTGAAGTGTGCAGGCCTGTAGCCGTGGTGCAGTGAGTGACGAGGACGCAGCTTGCCCTGCTTGGTTTGAATCCCTGTGGACTTTCTGACATGATTTTCTTTTTATTATTATCATTGTAACTATTTTTCAATGCATCTCTATACCACATCTTGCATGGAGGGAATCAAAGCTAGAGCGGAACTTTGCTAGAAGTGCTCTTTCTCCACCATACAGAAAGAAAAGCCCCAGTAAATAGCAAATCGAGCAGTGTCCTCAAGTTTCCAACGGGGGTAGAGGATGGAGTGTCCCTGGGTGCTGCTCTCATTTGTTAATTCATAGAGATCCACAAACCTGAGCAATGTTTTCCCAGCTTGTCCCCGATACAGCAGAGATGCCGAAGGTTGGAGGTGGACGCGTCTTCCTGACCCTCAAACCTGGGGGTTCGGTGTTAAACGTGGGTGTCCCCGAGGGCTGCAGGGTGTCGGGACAGTGGGGTGTGGGGTGTGGCTGAGTGCCCACACACCTTTGCTTCCTTGCCGCCAGCCCATCAACCACCTCGGCCGGGGGAGCAGCAGGATTTGGGAGGGTTCTGGCGGATTTCCGCCTCCCTGCTTCCAGCAGCACGAGAATGACCCTGGCTGGGGCTGTCTTACAAGGATGCAACTCCCCTCTTCCCTCAGGAGCTGCCCACCGGCCCCGGGGCCGCGGCCGGCCGGGGTCTCTCGGGGGGCTGCCGGACTCTCCGGCTGGGCCGCCACGTGAGGGGGCCCGGGCACGACCCTCCCCCGAGCCCGTGGGCTGGAGGGGCTGCCCAGCCCCGGGGTCCCACCACGGCCAGGACGGGCCGGGAGGGGCGGGAAGGTGAGGGCCGCATCGTCTGTTTGTTTGCTTGCTTGTTTGTTCGTCTCTAAAACCCATCCCTGGAACAAAAGGGGAGTCTGGGCGGAACTATGGATCCGTCCGTCCGCGCATCCAGAGCGGTGTCACCCGGCGGCTCCCGCGGGCTGCCCGGCCCTAGGTATGTCCACAGAGCACT